CCCCCGTACCTGCCCCTATAGGCAGAGCCCCTGTACCTGCCCCTATAGGCAGAGCCCCTGTACCTGCCCCTATAGGCAGAGCCCCCCCGTACCTGCCCCTATAGGTGTGCTTCGGGTTTTGCCAGTGTCCTCGGTTGGACATCTTTTCCCTCCGCACTGCTGAGAAAACGTGTGACAGATTTTTGGTTAGCTATTCCAGACACTCGGCACGCCACAGATATGTTACCTTCCGTGACTACACAGCAGCAGCTGTCCACACGGGGGGCATCCTCAGTAACGGCCTTGTAGGCCGGATCCGGCTGGACTGGAAGATTGCGGAGCTCGCCTGGAACGTGACCTTGCAGCGCTGGAGATCTTCATTGTGGCTCTTTCCAGACCCTCGTGTACTGTTTTGGCTGCAGAGCGGTTTCCCGGTTCCTATCCGTGGCAGAGTCTCTGCTGTCATTTAAAGAGATTAGGGCTGCAGCTAACGATTATTTTCAAAATCAATTAGTTAGCCGATTTTTAAGTTCGATTAATCGAATAAAAATAATTTTTAAAAAAGGGGCTCCAGTAATGGAATACTAATTTGTATGGAGATTGTAGTCCATCCCGGGAGCGAGCTTGGAGCGGTGACCACTTAACAACACACACGGGGACCATGGGGAACAGACGTAGCCCCCCTCCAGAAGGAAGGACAGTGTCAGAGATGATTGGAGGATCTCCAGCCGAGTGATACACAAATATACCACCAGCTTTAGAGGAATTCAACACATCCTGGCAATACATTTATGCATGCAGTGTATAATGTATTGCTGGGATTTGTAGTCCTCTATAGCTGATGGCGTATTGTGCTGTATATGTACCATCGGCTATAGAGGACTACAACCAATCACTATCCCAGCAATACATTTATACAGCATGTGGGGGAAAAGTGCCGGCAGTCTTACCTGCAAGCAACTTTACTTTCTTCCCAGAGATCTCCGTTCTCCCCCACGCTGCAGTCTCTCTGCAACGACGTGCTCGGCGGCGGCGGGCAGCGATGTGAGAGAGCTCAGAGCTGTGTGAGGTGGGGAGGACGTGCGGCGTAAGGCATGAAGCGTGTGCGGCGCAAGGCGAGAGCTCAGAGCTGTGTGAGGTGGGGAGGACGTGCGGCGTAAGGCGTGTGTGTGGAGCCGGAAAAAGGGGCAACTAATCGAAAGCCGACTAATCGATGATGGAAAACGTTGACAATTTTTTCCCATCATCGATTTTAATCGACTTACTCGATTAGTTGTTGGAGCTCTAAAAGAAATGTCACAAGCACACCAAATATCCTTTCAGGATAACCGCGTGTTCATTTTATAAGAACCATGTCAGGTAAAAACAAGCGCTTTCGGGGCCACGCGGGGTCCCTTCTTTGGTTTAGGATTGGCGTTGGTCCTTCTGGTTCTATATTAGAACCTTCTGTGGCTTATCTCCACCCCTCAGTTGGATTACTTCTGAACGTCCCAGATGTCCGAGTTCCTACATTGCTAAGATTTGTGTACTTCAGCGGTTCTCAAACCTGGGGGTCGAATGACGATTTGCCGGGGGGTCGCCGGGAATCTCTCGCTATTAGATAGCGCCTCCCGGCCGCCCGGTGAGAGAAACACTTCCTCCCGGAAAGGTTTAATCTGCTCGATTTTATTTTTTCTGACATCGGGAGCCGCCGGAAGTCAGAATAAATTAAAAAAAACACCATAGGAATACATAGCTAGATTCCTATTGGCTATTTCACTTTGCAATAGCCAATAGCAAACTAGCTATTGAGCCCGCCCTCTGCTGCTGCTGCTGCCAATCAGCAGAGGGGGACCTGAAGTTCTCCATCAGGTCCCCTTCTAGTGATTGACAGCAGCAGTGGGCGGGTGCCATAGCTAGCTTGCTATTGGCTATTGCAAAGTGAAATAGCCAATAGGAATCTAGCTATGTATTCCTATGGTGTTGTTTTTATTCTGACGGCGTACGCCGGCGGTTCTCAGGCTGCGGGGTCGCTGTGTGAGTGCTGTGCTAGGTGAGAGTCCTCCTCAGCCCTCTCCTAACGCAGCAGTGTCAGTTCTCCCGACACGCCGCCAGATGTCGCCGCAGCAGCCGCGTCATCCCTAAATTTTACCGCAGGGGGGGTCACCACTAACTTGGCAAATGTTACCAAGGGGGTCCCGGCCCTAGAAAGGTTGAGAACCGCTGGTGTACTTGGTGTAAAATCTTTTTTTCAAGTCCATTAACCCCTTCATGACTGAGGCCCTTTTTTCAATTTTTGCACCCATACTCAGGTCCCACCCCTCGGGGTTTATTGCCCCTCTGTACTACTCGCTCTCTAAGCTGACGCATAACTGTTGGGGGTTACCCGTGGATTGGCCTCCATCTGCTTGTCGGGGTCCAAACCTCCTCGTAGGCAGCAGCAGAAAATAACCCAATTGTTATTAATTTCTACATTCCTGTGTCCTTCGATGGACTTCAAGAAAAGGATTGTAGGGTGAGTACAGAATGTATTATTTCCCGTAAGGAACACACAGACGCCTGTCTGCAGGGACCCCGAGGACTGCACAGCAAGGGCACAGGGGAGCGTGTTGGACAATGGAGGTCTAAGCTGAAGCTGAGTGTAACATTCATACCCCCCCCCCCCCGGCCCATGCAGCCGAATGTATTCCTCCCGCTTCATAGTGACCGTTACGATCGCATTGATCCGAAGACGCCGGCCCTTCTAATGTTCCGTCTCTCCTCAGGTCTGGGACGCTATAGAAGGAATCCTGCGCTGCAGCACCAGCGATGGCCAGAGTGGGATAACGGCGCTGGTTTTCCAGAATCACCGGTATGTAGGTCGTCCGTCTTTCTGCAGCGCAATGTGTACTGTCTGTGTTCTCACCAACAATTCCACTGACTGCTCAGCGGTCTACGATCGGTTACTGCAAATAGCTCGTGACATAACTCGGCTACGTTATCGGAGGAATTGGAGACAATTGTTTAAAGGAGAACTATGAGGGGGAGGGGCTTTTCACTCGTCCTCATAGTTCGGGGCGACCTGTGACAATGAGACTGTCACAGGTCGGCTCAGTAGATCGGGAGGTGAGGGAACACATACCGGCGTTCGCTCACCTCTCGATCCTGTCACGGCTCTCTGCAGTGACAGGGGAGGGGCTGTATTCCCCGCTCTGATCCGCCAGCGCTGACTGGCAGAACGGACGGAATGGACGGGGCGGGTACAGCCTCTAGATAGGCGGAGCCAGCTGTCACTCACGCAGTTGGGCGGATCCAGACAGAATTGTCGGGATCCGCTCCGGCTGCGGCGTCTCAGTATACCGCGAGCTGTAGCTCCCTATATACTGAGCCTAGGGTGACGGCAGGACGCTAGTTTGTGTCCCCCCGTTACCCTAAGGAGATCTATGGGGGAAAGCACTGACCTCGTAGTTCTCCTTTAAGGTCGTTCTGCATTTCATGGCGTTTCACAGAGATCGCTGTGTTCCTGTCACGTCACAGAGGGGAGCAGCGCGTGGCGTTCTCTGGATTGGGTCACTCCGCCTGCCATGAGGGTAGAAATCAACCAAAAACGTCTTTTAAAGTTTTTTCTCCTTTTGAACCCAAAACACAGTCTACGTGTACCGATCATTACATTTTATATGATTTTAGGGCTTTGGCTCAAAGTTCTTTGCAAAGGAAAGGGAGGTGCATATCTTTTTTTCTTGTCCATTGAAGGACACAGTAAGTCTTCAACCTTCGGGTTATACCGCTGCCTACAGAAGGATTGGACCCATACAAAAAAAACTGTAGGCCAGCCCAGGATAACAGCTACAGCAGGACCCTTTTTGGAGCGGATTTTGCCGCGATTCTCGCTTGCTCAATGCAAGCATTTGCGCGATATCGCGCAAAATGCAAATCGCGCGATTTGCGAATCGCGCAATGTGAACGGGGCCTAAGGCTAACCCCATTGTATTGCTAGAACTTCTTTCTTCAACCAAAACTCTTCTCTGCGTCACTGCTAGGGCTTTGTCTTTTCGATTGCAGCTCTCCGCCACTGTCACCCTCAGCCTGGCCTTTGGAGTACTACGATGGACTGGATGTTGCGGGGATAGCCTGGTAGTGACCTCCGCACAATGGGTTCCGAGTGCTTTCCAGACCCTGTTCTGCAGAGCCCTTCTAGGTCCGTGGCCACTGGCATTGCCTCAGTGCTTGCCGTGTCTCCGAGGGCTCACTTATGGAGTAGGTTGGTTGGGCTGAGCACCAGGAGCTACGTGGTTAGCATAGGTCACAGGCAGTGGGATAACAATCGCCATTAGCTGCAGTGCGTTTTTGACGCGTTCGTGCATTTCCGGACCGGAGAAAATGTGACATGCAGTATTTTTTCTGTCCTGACCGGACTGCGCTGGTGAGAACTGTACCCGTAAAACATATAGGGAGACGTTGGGATGCTTTTTGGGTGCAGGAGCGGAAATCGTGTGAACAAGCCCTTAAAGGTGCTCAGCACAGAGGCTGATGATGGAGGGGGTGGTGCTAACGGCCACATCACGGGACGCAACTAGTTCAGGACTTGAGGTCATTCCTAGTATTAATTTTCGGATTAGATGATTGCAGCAGCTCAGCCAGAAAGGAGCTTCAGCTGAATATCTAACATTGTACTTCATTGGAATGGGAAGAGGGGGAGGGGAGGTGATGGTGCCGCTCTGTCATACTATCTCTGTGTCTTGCAGGATCGTGGCTGCCCGACTCAATGGCTCTCTGGACTTATTCTGCCTGGAATCCCACAAATCCTCCAGCCAGCTACAGTATAGAGGTGAGGTCATCTCCGAGTCCGCCAGGACCTGATGGAGGCAAAATAACTGGTGATGATGCCAGGGACCCTAACCCCTCCACTAAAATGCAACGCAGCACAACCTTATCATGTCAAGACCTCATCATACATGTGCAATAAAGAGACTTAATTGCCCAGATACATCCTAAATATAGAGCCATTCATCCAACTGTCCATCCAGAGCCGCCATTTATAGACCGGATACATCCTAAATATAGAGCCATTTATCCAACTGTCCATCCAGAGCCGCCATTTATAGACCGGATACATCCTAAATATAGAGCCATTTATCCAACTGTCCCTCCGGAGTCGCCATTTATAGACCGGATACATCCTAAATATAGAGCCATTTACCCAACTGTCCATCCATTTATAGACCGGATACATCCTAAATATAGAGCCATTTATCCAACTGTCCATCCAGAGCCGCCATTTATAGACCGGATACATCCTAAATATAGAGCCATTTATCCAACTGTCCATCCAGAGCCGCCATTTATAGACCCGCTACATCCTAAATATAGAGCCATTTATCTAACTGTCCATCCAGAGCCGCCATTTATAGACCGGATACATCCTAAATATAGAGCCATTTATCCAACTGTCCCTCCAGAGTCGCCATTTATAGACCGGATACATCCTAAATATAGAGCCATTTACCCAACTGTCCATCCATTTATAGACCGGATACATCCTAAATATAGAGCCATTTATCCAACTGTCCATCCAGAGCCGCCATTTATAGATAAATATAGAGCCATTTACCCAACTGTCCATCCATTTATAGACCGGATACATCCTAAATATAGAGCCATTTATCCAACTGTCCATCCAGAGCCGCCATTTATAGACCAGATACATCCTAAATATAGAGCCATTTATCCAACTGTCCATCCAGAGCCGCCATTTATAGACCGGATACATCCTAAATATAGAGCCATTTATCCAACTGTCCCTCCAGAGACGCCATTTATAGACCGGATACATCCTAAATATAGAGCCATTTATCCAACTGTCCCTCCAGAGCCGCCATTTATAGACCGGATACATCCTAAATATAGAGCCATTTATCCAACTGTCCATCCAGAGCCGCCATTTATAGACCGGATACATCCTAATATAGACATTTCTCCATCATATATAACGGGTATAATACATATAAAGTAGTGAAACGTTTCGGCGTTGACCGGTGAAGCACATGGAGTATATTGTGTTGTGTTTTCCGTCCATGTTCTCTATAACAAACCTCCTTCCTTTCCAGGGACGCCCAATCGCACCGCGGTCCCGAGCTCCCCGCTGTACTCGAATGATGATGTCATCCGGTGTCAGCTGACCCACACCGTGGCCTGCGCCCACCAGAAGCCGATCACGGTGCTGAAAGCTGCGGCTGGTCGTTTGGTGACGGGAAGCCAGGACCACACGCTTAGGGTAAGTCCGACGGCAGCCTCTATATAGACTTCTGCCATGGTGGAGGGTCATGTATGACGACACGTGCGCACATCCCGGGGCGCGATGGGAGGTGTAACCGTCTTCTTTATGTCTCTAGGTTTACCGTCTGGATGACGCGTGCTGCCTGTTCACGCTGCAGGGCCACTCGGGAGGGATTACCGCCATCTACATTGATGAGGTGAGAGGCCGGTGATTGCTCTTGTCTTACCCTCCAGGAACCTTTCTTTTTTTTTTAACAATGAATTTATTAGGTTTTGTCAATAGAACATAAACATGTCGTCTAAGACATACTCCAGAGTGAGCAGAGTTAGATGTTTAAGAAGGGATTCGCTGCAGGAGTGTGGTAGGGGGGTCGAAGGTGTGCCAGACCCGTAGTGTTGCTGTGACTGTGTCTAGAAAATGTTTAGTGGGGGGGTTATTAAGAAGGGAGGAGCATAATAAAAGCTTGAGGTTTTTATGTAAAATATCACTTTCGATTTGGGACCATAAACCGACTCGCTGATAATGACAACCCCGGTCCATGGATGCGCAATGTGCGTCAGCACAGCCACAGGTGTGCTCCATCGGGGCGCTTGTGACAGGGTGACAACGCAGGAGCGCAATTAGTAGACGGGGACAGAACGTGTCAACCTATAACAGGAAGTTGCCTGAACAAGAACCTTGATGGCAGGATCACCCCCGGGGGTTATTATAATGACATCAGCATGTCGGGGATCGGGATCTGCTGCCGGGTGAAATGATTTGTCATTGAATGTTTGTGTATTGATTGGTATTGATGATTTGTAAAACATTGATTGGTGCGATCTCTCCGTGTATATTGATGACCTTTCTTACCGGGCCGGAGTTCTGCTTCGGCATTCGGGACTCGTCAGTTGTATTGCGAGAGCTCCCCTGTGAGCCTGCGGATATTTAACCCCGTGTGCGCCTTTCCGTCCACAGACCATGGTCCTAGCCAGCGGGGGGCAGGACGGAGCCATCTGCCTGTGGGACGTCCTGACAGGAAGTAGAGTTGGCCACATGCACGGCCACCGCGGTGACATCACTTCCCTGATCTGCACGACATCGTACGTGATCAGCAGTGGTCTGGACGACGTCATCAGCATATGGGACCGCAGCTCCGCCATCAAACTCTACTCCATACAGCAGGTGAGACCGTTCAGACCGAGAGCAGCAACGGAAGTGGTCATGTGTGATGTCATGTATGGAGTATGACACGGAGGGTTTATCTAACATGGAGTCTCCCCCATGGAGTTGTGTGCGCGCCAACTAGGCCCCCCCAACCACGCATGGCCATTAACCCCTTCGTGACTGACGACGTACAGTGTACGTAGAGTTGGACTTCCTTTGTGGCTGCAACAACCTCCACTCTTCTGGGAAGGCGTCCACAAGGTTTAGGAGATTGTCTGTGGGAATTTGTGCCCTTTTGTGAGGTCAGGTGGTCCTGATGGATGAGAAGACCCGGCTCACAGTCAGCGTTCCACTTCATCCCAGAGGTGATCAGTTGGGTTGAGGTCGGGGCTCTGTGCAGGACACTCGAGTTCCTCCACCAAGCCGGTCACACCGTGTCTCTATGGAGCTGGCTTTGTACACGGGGGACAGTCATGGTGGAAGAGAAAAGGGTCTTCAGCAAACTGTGACCACAAGGCTGGAAGAGGACAATTGTCTACAATGTCTTCATGGAGCTAGCTTTGTATACAGGGGGGCAGTCATGGGGGGGAACAGAAAAGGGCCTTCCAAAATGTGCATCTGTTGGTATTTGTGCCCATTCAGCCAAAAGAGCATTTGTAGGGTGTGGTGCAGTTCTTGGATGAGAAGACCCGGCTGGTGTCCAGTAGGGTTGAGGTCAGGGCTCTGTGCAGGACACTCGAGTTCCTCCACCGGACTGGTCACACCATGTCTTTATGGAGACGGCTTTGCCCACCTGAACTCAATAACTCCCATGGAACACCTATGTTCCATAAGGTGTTCCGCAGGGTTGAGGTCAGGGCACTGGTGTGGAGGAACTTGAGTGGCCTTCACAAGCTGGTCTGTATGGAGCTGGCTTTCAAACGATGGCCATTAATATGGTGTTGGCCTCCCTTTGTGCCTTCAAAATGCTCCGCTCTTCTGGGAAGGCTTTCCAGGAGACTGGAGGGTGTCTTGTGGGAACCTGTACCCATTAGGGAGGTCAACAGCAAAAAGTTTTCCCCGGCACACTCACCAGCCGGCATGCAAAAAAAACTCGTCTGACCGCTAAGGTTAATAACAGAGGTTTGGATACACATCTTCTGCAGAACATGTGAAAGCCGCACTGCCGCGCCAAGGCACCTCCTATATAGTGTGGTCCTGACTCTGACCTATGAGAGTCTCCATCTTGGAGCACATGGGGGCAGAAGATAAAATTGGGTGCAGGTTTTTCAGGAGGAATCCCAACCCCCCTTAAAGGAAACAAATGGCAAACGCACTCAACAATTCGTCACCAGCTCTAAGCGCTGTGCACACGGAAGGACATACAGTTATACAAGACAACAGCAAAAAGTTTCCCGGCACACTCACCGGCCGGCATGCAACCTTTTTGCTGTTACTGTATAAGGCCATTCCGTGTGCACCGCGCCGTACGGCTGGTGACGAATTGATGAGTGCGTTCGTCATTTGTTTTCCATTAGGGAGGTCAGGGACTGATGTGGGATGAGAAGACCCGGCTCACAATCAGCATCCCAAAGGTGTTCAGTATCAGTAGGGATGAGGTCAGGACTCGGGGGTGGGGGGGGGACTTGAGTGGCCTCCACCAAACTGGTCAGACCATGAGGAAAATTTATCAAAACCGGAGCAGAGAAAATCTGGAGCATCTGAGCACGGCGACCAATCGGCTTCTCTCTTCAGTTTGCTCAGTTGAGGTTTGATAATGAATGAGAGATGCTGATTGGTCGCCGTGCTCAGATGCTCCAGATTTTCTCTGCTCCGGTTTTGATAAATTCCCTTCCATGTCTTTATGGAGCCGGCTCTGTACACAGGGGACAGTGATGGTGGAACAGAAAAGAGTGTTCACCAAACTGTGATCGCAAGGCCGGAAGAGGACAATTTGTACCCATTTGTGAGGTCTGATGTTGGATGACAAGACCTGGATCCCCACTGAGGTTCCATTTCATCCCGGAGGTGTTCAGTAGGGATGAGGTCAGGGCTCTGGTGTGGGGGAACTGGAGGGGCCTCCACCAAGCTGGTGACACCGTGTCTGTATGGAGCTGGCTTTGTACACGGGGGACCGTCATGGTGGAACAGAAAAGGGTCTCCACCAAACTGTGACCACAAGGCTGGAGGGCCACCATCCCGGATGTCGTTCAGAAAAACACAAAGGATGTCCACAGCGCCATTCCATCGACAGCGGTACGAACACGCACCACGTGTACCGGAAATCATACAGCCGCGGCAACTCTCCGGCCGCTGTCCACAAGTGGCGCCATGGGTCTACTCCCGGGGTTCATGGCTGACCTAATGGCACGTCCAGTTTTAGTCCCCGCTCGCTTCCTGTTATGTCCCGACCAAGTCTCGGTGACACGCATGGTGCTGGACTACAGCAGGACACGCCATGACAGCAGCCCAGCAACATGGAGGTAGGTTCACGGTGAGTGGCGCCGGTTTTGGACAAGAGGCGGAGAGACGGCTCTACGATGTTCACGTGGCTCTGGTGTGTTACGTCGGGGGATTGTAGTTCTGATGTTACGAGGTTCCGGCGCGGTCCTCACCGATATCCCGGCATGATGGATCCGCTTCCACCGGCGTCATTATGACAACTTCCTGTGTGATTATTTTTGGTGGGTGGGGGAGGAATCGTTTTATATCAGACACAGGAAGTTGTACCAATGGCGCCGGTGGAAGCGGCGATCGCCATCACACCGGGGGCGGGGACTCTTTGTACATGGGTGGGGTTTGAGGTTTTGTGAATGGCGTCTTCCATCATCATTGAGGCCTTTTATTCTCTTCTTCTCTCGGCAGGATTTGGGCTGCGGCTCCAGCTTAGGCCTCATCTCCGATAACCTCCTGGTGACGGGCGGCCAGGGCTGCGTCTCCTTCTGGGACATCGGCTACGGTGATCTCCTGCAGACGGTCTACCTGGGGAAGTGCGAGGAAGCCCAGCCGGCCCGCCAGATCCTGGTCCTGGACAATGCCGCCATCGTCTGCGACTTTGGCAGCGAGCTGAGCCTGGTCTACGTGCCGTCGGTGCTGGAGAAGTTGGACTGAGGAGGAGGAGGACGGGCAGCCGACCCGGTGACTCCTGGGGAAGCCGAGCTGCGACCCGCGAGGGGGTTGGTCTGACCGGCTCACACACATTCTCACTATACTTCCAATGGAATTGTACAATATTCCGGGTTTTCCAGGTTCCAGCGCCGACCTGTCTCGCGTCCGCCATGTCCCCAGAGTCTATTTTTTTCTTTCTGTTGCGAGGCGGCAGGTTTGCGGCGACCCGGAAAAAGGCAGAAAAATGATTCGTTATGAATCCCGCGGCCCCTCCTCCGCCGCCGCACGGGGGGCGGGGCCCCGCTATGAATGTCCTGGACAGCGAGCTTTGTACTTTATTACCGCCTGTGTCGCCGATATACGTCTCTGGGGGCGGCGCCGGGGGGGGCATGTCATAGAGATGATCACCCATAGCAACCATGTAGCGACCTTCAGGGTCAATCCTTCGCTTTGCTGCTATTGGCTGTGTGCTCCAGTCAGTTTTCTTCCGTAATATTGGTGATCTCGCGGGCGGCTTCCGGGGTGGGGGGCGGTGCGTCTATTGGCAGGAGTTGTCACACAGACAGGGCCTCTTTATAGACACCTAGGTGTTACCCCCCTCTATGCACACCTAGGTGTTACCCCCCTCTATGCACATGGCTGAAGAGGTGGATTGTTGTCAGTGCCGGGGTGGAGATGGCAATATATATATATATACAGTGCGGAGGATGATGATTGGCTCCCTGGGATATATAATTTGTATCACCGGAGACGGAATATCCACCAAACTCCAGAGAAGTCACATGACACAAATGTTATAAATGGAGTAAAATAAGTATCTGATCCCCTACCAACCAGCAATCATTCTGGCTCCTCCCACAGACTGGTCATGTGGTACACAGATGAGTCCTGTCACTTTAAGAAGGTCACCTGACCACAGAATCTCTTCCCTCCATCACCCCTCCCCCACCATAGGCAAGACCAAAGAGCTGTCAGAGGAGGTCAGGGACCGTGGCCCGAAGACTCTCAGCAAGAAGCTCGGGGAGAAGGAATACAAAATACCCACCAATGGCCCTCGGTCTGGAGCTCCATGGAGGATGTCGCCTCATGGGGTGAGGATGTTGAGAGAAAAGTAAGGGATCCGCCCAGAACTACACGGGGGGGGGGAGGAGCTTGTGAATGATCTCAAGGCAGTGGGGACCACAGTCACCAAACACACCACTGGTGACACAATACACCGCCATGGACTGAGATCCTGCAGCGCCCGCAAGGTCACCCCTCCTCTGGAAGGCCCATGTACAGACCCGTCCCCCCTCCTCTGGAAGGCCCATGTACAGACCCGTCCCCCCTCCTCTGGAAGGCCCATGTACAGACCCGTCCCCCCTCCTCTGGAAGGCCCATGTACAGGCCTGTCCCCCCTCCTCTGGAAGGCCCATGTACAGGCCTGTCCCCCCTCCTCTGGAAGGCCCATGTACAGGCCTGTCCCCCCTCCTCTGGAAGGCCCATGTACAGGCCCGTCCCCCCTCCTCTGGAAGGCCCATGTACAGGCCTGTCCCCCCTCCTCTGGAAGGCCCATGTACAGGCCTGTCCCCCCTCCTCAGGAAGGCCCATGTACAGGCCCGTCCCCCCTCCTCTGGAAGGCCTATGTACAGGCCTGTCCCCCCTCAGGAAGGCCCATGTACAGACCCGTCTGAAGTCTGCAAATGAACATCTCAATGATTGCAAGGAGGATTGGGGAGGAAGTGCTGCGGTCACATGCCACCAAAATTCAGCTCTTGGCATGAACTCGACTCTGTGATTGGAGGAAGAACAATGGTGACCTATGACCCTAAGAACACCGTCCACACAGTCCAGCCCGGAGGGGGAAACATGCTTTGGGGCCGTTTCTCTGCTAATGGCTGACTGCCGCATTACGGGGCCACGTATTGTACAATCTTGGAGGAGAACCTTCTTCCCTCAGCCGGAACACTGAAGATGGGTCGTGGGCGGGTCTTTCAGCATGACAACGACCCAAAACATATCGCCAAGGCAACAAAGCCGGGACTGAGGAAGAACATTAAAGGAGAACTATGAGGTGAGTGAACACATACCGGCGTTCGCTCACCTCTCGTTCCTGTCAGGGCTCTCTGCCGTGATAGGAGAGTGACTGTAAGGGGCGGGTACAGCTGGCTCTGCCTCTAGATAGGCGGAGCCAGCTGTCACTCACGCAGCTGGGCGGATCCAGACATAATTGTCGGGATCCGCTTCAGCTGCGGCGTCTCAGTATACCGCGAGCTACAGCTCCCTATATACTGAGCTTAGGGTGACGGGAGGACGCTAGTTTGTGTCCTCCCGTTACCCTAAGGAGAACTATGGGGAAAACCCTGACCTCACAGTTCTCCTTTAAGGTCATGAAGTGGCCCAGCCGGTCTCCAGACCTCCATCCTATGGAACATTTATGGGAGGAGCCGAAACTTCGAGTTGCCGAGCGACAGCCAAGAAACCTGAAGAATCCCTCCTGAGATGTGTGCAACCCTGGCAACCAACCCCAGGAAACGTCTCACCTATGTTCTCCCCAACAAGGGTTCCCCCCAGGAAACATCTCACCTCTGTGCTCCCCAACAAGGGTTCCCCCAGGAAACATCTCACCTCTGTGCTCCCCAACAAGGGTTCCACCAGGAAACATCTCACCTCTGTGCTCCCCAACAAGGGTTCCCCCAGGAAACGTCTCACCTCCATGCCCCCCAACAAGGGTTCCCCCAGGAAACGTCTCACCTCTGCTCCCCAACAAGGGTTCCCCTAGGAAACATCTCACCTCTGTGCTCCCAAACAAGGGTTCCCCCAGGAAACGTCTCCCCAACAAGGGTTCCCCCAGGAAACGTCTCACCTTTGTGCTCCCCAACAAGGGTTCCCCACCAAGTACTAAGTCATGTTCTGCTTTCGGATCAAATACTTCTTTTACTCCCTGAACTACAACTCCATTTATAACATTTGTGTCATGTGACTTCTCTGGATTTGTGGCGGATATTCCGTCTCCGATGATAACAATGCCGGGGAGCCAATCATTCTTCTCCTCGCTGTATAGGAGGCCGGTGGTGATGAAGGCCGCCACCCATGTGTAGGAGGGTTTGATATATAGATGTCGCCTCTCTCACACTTCTTGAGGACCGGTTGGTCTCTGTAATATGGACCTCAGAAGAATGTCCTGACCCATCCCGTTCCTGGACCATCACCATCTACACCTTCCATGGTGATTGGACGGAGGGGTCGGTACTTCTCCCTTTTCAGGTTGTCACTTGTGAAGTATTTTTGTCCTCGGCTGCTCCGGGTGAGTTCTCGGGGGACGGCAGCAGAAAGGAGAAACCTGCCGACTTGCTTAATTTCCCCCGGACCTATGAACGCAGCTGATGGTTGTCGGCACTTAAACCTCCCCGATCATCTCGCTTCCCCTTCATGCTTTCCAGGGGGCTCCATTGTAAAAGCTTTTTCCTAACTTCCTGTCCCAGTGACAACGGTTTTAACCAGACAGGAAGTGATGGGAACTCAGGGACAGGAAGTGAGGGGGAAATCTTGCACATTACAGCCAGGACGGGTGATGAGCAATGAATGTCATTTCCCACCAAATGTGTCTTCTGTACAATACGACATCCGGGCCCCGGACC